GTTCAGCAGAATCTGAAATAATTGCACAATTATGTAGCTTCTACAAGTGAAACAGGAGATAACAAAAATCTACAGGTTACATGTACATTAATTACATATATTCTGGAAAGTAATGGCCAACCTCTTTTTCTTTTAACAGAGCTGCATAATTAACTGACAATGCTTTAATTTCCGCCTCGGATGCTTGAAGTTTCTTGATTTCTGCTTTGTATTGCTCTATCTACAAGAAGTAAAAGAAACATTGAAATGACATTTTTTTTCTTTTGGGTTACAAAATACATCTTATTTAACCATAACTCTACTAATGTAAGGGGATTCCAGGGGCAAAAACAAGTAATAGACAATTAGAAATTTAGTACAGTACAATTTCAAGCACTGATAACAAATTTCCACTAATTAACCTACTGCTAATTTATGTGAAATTGGCGATAACAATTAAATTTGAAGCAATAGGTACCCATTTAACCCCAACCTGACTTTGGAAAAAAGTTCTTTAATTGGGTTTGAGATTCCCAGCTTTTATAGCCTCCAACATGTCATTGATCGGAAAAGCCTGCTTTTCTGCTTTGCAAAAACAAGGTCGGGTTTGGATTCGGGGATATAAACACCTACCCTGCCCCCAGACTCTTCCCACACAAAATAGTGAAATAATTTAAATTAATAGTAATTAATTACTAAAGTTGAAATTACACAATTTACTGTCAATACAATTTAGTTCTGAAGTTTCTTATATTTAAGATTCTTGCTATTTATTAATTTTTATAAATTATTAGAATTAAAATATAGTTAATAACTTGACATGTTATTTATTTTTGAAAAGGGAGATGAGGGTGCCCAACCTCAATGGAGATGAGATTAAGTTAAATATTTCATCTCTGCCTCTCCTAAACCTGAACCTGTCCTATCCTTAGTGAGTGCGGGGAGAGTCAAACCCATTCTGACCGACTCATTTGTGCCTATGCTTATGTGAAAGAATGGCAAGTTGACTATGTTATGGATAGATGGAAAAATCCTAAAAAGTTGGAAAGAAGAACAACAAAAACCTTATCCCACCAGGTGATGTTGGTTACATTGATCATACGACGTTATTTTGTTCAGTTAAAACCCAAAGCTTCGGAAATATTACTTACAGTAAAGATGAATACGGTATTGTACTTTCAATTAAAAAAAAAAACATTTTAAAATAAGGGAACATTATACATTTGACGTATAGACAACTTAACAGGCATAATCCATCTAAACACAAGTTGGTTTCATAGTAGCTTGGACATTAAGTTAACCTATTTTTTAAAATAATTGTGGAGAAAATAGTCAAAATTAGTCCTTATAAATACAGTGTCCGACATATTAGTTTTAAACGATGAAAATTGCATCCATTCTGTCCCTCAAATTAGTCACTGAGATTCATAATGTGGTGCGGTGAACAAGTTTGACCGAAGAAACTCATATTCAACAACCTAAAGATTAATTTCCCGATTCAGGAACTAATATGACACAGTTATGAGAAATTATTCTATGGTTAGGACCACTATGTGTCTATGATTCCAACCAATTTTTCAATGTATGAGAAATAATTAATTAAACTTGACTATTTGTTACATGGAGATTGACCGACTATATGATAATTTCTTATACACTATACTTTGAGTTTTTATTTTTTCTTTAAATGTTCCTCTGAAATAACATGATGTAATAAAACTAAAACCCAAAACCTACTTCATTGCAGCACCAGATACGAGCGCATTAGGTTCCCAAGCTGATAAAAATTCAGCTACAGGTCAATAGTTAAGCACTTCACTCGATAAACAAAATAAATAAATAATATAAAAAATCGACGGCATTAAACAAGTAAGAGAGAGATTGACCTGAGAAGGAGAGGCATGATCGATGCCGTTAGCGAGCGGCGAGCCAATCCCGGATTTGGAATGGGCGGAGGCGTGGGAAGTCCGGCGATCGGAGACGGCGGAGTTGTCGGCGTCGGTAGGGCTTCCGGCAGCGTAGGCGCGGAGAATTTCGTCGTGGTCGTCATCATGAACATCGAGGGCGATCTTGTTGAGGTTCTCCTTCAAATTGGCAATGGTGCCCCACATGATTCGAATCCCCCGAAAATAGCAGCGAAGGAATGAATATATACAGATGCAATTGTTGTTTTTTTTTTAATATTTTTTTTAAAATTTTGGGGGAAAATGAGAGGGACTGAATCTGTGAAAGTAGGCACTGTAATGTAATGTAATGTGCAATTCCTGGTAGATCTCAGATGCGGGAGAAAGAAAGAAAACTCCCTGATTCTGTTCGGACGAAGGTTACGTGTGTTATTTTAATATTTATTTTATGACACGTTGTGTTTGTGTGAGACGTGTAGACCTGCTGCATTCGTTATTAAGTTGAGTTTTATGGCACCATACGTATCCTCCATCGGTTACAGTTCGTATTATATATGACTTTTAAATACATAATTACTTAATATATTTTCTATCTAAATATGTCTTCACCCTTCAAAAAAAAATCTAAAAATGTCTTCAAGTTTAAGTTTAATCTTAGTGTCAAATACAAAAATAAATTAGAAATCGAACTTTATCAAATTAACAAACACAATGAACACGTCTCTCGAATTTAATAAAGTCTGTAAAATTCTAGCATATCGAGTCAATTTTAGACTTAAAAATGCGTCACATGTTTCTTTGTTCTATAAAAATTTCTATCAAGTCATTGTTGTCTATTTTAAAATCTCTAACCACCAGTCTCATTACATTTTTCTTTAAACTAAGTTTTGATATAAAAAAAATGGGTCAGTTTGTGTAAATTTAAAAGAATATTATCAAAAAGAAATTTAAACTTCTTAAAAAAAAAGCAATTGTTTATAAAATAGAAATTTATTTCTTTAAAAGAAAAGGAAAAATTGTTTTATTCTAATGTTAGTACAAGTAGGTTAAATTTAATAAGAGCATGTGAGTTGAAATAAATTAAATTAGGCCAAGTTTTATTCAAGGTTAAAACTTCGTTATTGTAACACTATGTATATTCTTAAAATTATTGTTGATATTATTGATTTAATGTGTTGTGATGATTTATTGTTTAAATGTTGAGAAACTCTTAAAATTTAGGAATTTTCAGGTAGTTGTTTAGGAATTTTTATGAATAGAAGTCAAGTTTAGCTTGTAAGGAAAGATATATAAAATTTATTTTAAAACTTGGACTTTATAAGTTCATGTCTTAAAAGAACTTAGAGAAATAATTTAAAGGAAAGGGCTTTGGAGTTTGAGAGAACCTTTTCTTCCCTAAACCCCTCTTTAGAGTGAGTGCTTTCAAAAATCTCAATTATAGGAGTGGTAAACCCCTTCATAGGTGATTGCTCAACTAATGGTTGTGGAACAGATCTGTATAAATAAAATGCCCTGAAATTTGAAGCTAGAGATAACAAATGTACCAAAAATAATTGCTTGCAAGAATTTATGCCCTTAATAGTTAATATTAGATCTGAAGATGAAATTCCTTTGCCCTTCAAATCCGCCTTTGGGATTTTCTGTAGAATGTTTCTTCCTGAGGCTATAGCATTATATTTTGCTTAATGGGTAATAAAATGCTTCGAACACGTTCCTAGGAGCCTGGTTTTCATGTTTTGTAAAGATTTGTGCCATATTACTCGGGAAGCATACATATTGTTGCATTTGGGAAAGAAAGAGAGAAGATTGAAATTGACTGAGCATTCTAACAACATTTCCGTTTATCAAACAAATATTTCCTTTCATGATCCTGCTATTAAAGAGAAAACAATCATCTTTATTGCCCTCAATTTTTGAATGTTACAGGCTGAGATTGCTCGTCAAGAAGCAAGGCTGAAGATGGAGAGAGACAATCTTGAGAAAGAGAAAAGTGTCTTAATGGGAACTGCGTCAAATCAAGATAACCAAGATGGAGCCCTTGAAATTACAGTAAGTGGTGAAAAATACCGTTGCCTCAGATTTGCCAAGGCAAAAAAGTAAGGCTTTGCTGGGGTCACAAAAAGGAAAAGTACGTTCTTCACTTCTCCCCTCCCCCAAAAGAGGACTAGTGCTGCCGAGGAATCACATGCAAATTGCAATGCCAAGCTCAATTTAAGTACCTCTAGGAGGAACATTGTTCTGTTGGATGCGCCTGCTGAAGTGCTGAGTGTTCGTGTGAATAAGAGAGCGGCAGAAGGAAAACATTATATGCCTGCATCTCTTCTGCAATCTCAGTTAGATTTAGCCCATAGAGGCATGGGAAGGGGAACAGGGGATGGACTGCATTACACGGTTTGAACCCATGTTACATGTCCTAAACCTTTACTAACTGTGTTGTGTCACTGTGACATTCCCTATAGCTTTACCTCTGATCATTTTTTCATATAATTTTGTCATTGTTATGCATGCTACTGAGAAAAGTTGAACCCAAATTATATTGTTACTGTTGCTGTGAGGCCATAGTACTATTAGTATTCTCAATAATCGATCAAAAGTGCAAGTGGTTTTAAAATGCTGTTTATAGTTGAAGAGATATAATGAGAATACTGTGTTCCTATTTTAGTTTTATATGCATAATTCTTATTACATTTCTTGTATCTGTGGAGCATGAAATGGCTGTGCATGAATTATGACTTAAATTACTAGGTAGTTCCCAATTTGTCTATAATAAAAAAAATGGGAAGCATATATGATATATCCCTCAATCTTATAATTAACTTGCACGGGTGGAATTTCTTATACGGATGGAGGGCAACTACAGCCCAAACATTTTTTTTCCACTGCATTAATTATGTGTAATTTTCAACCCCATCCGAGTGATATCTGAGTATGTCTTATGTACCCTTTCCTAAATTTTCTACTACCATGACTATGACTCCAATGATATTTTGATGCAAGATATGTAATAGAAATTTAGCAATGCCAAGTTCACTTGAATTTTGATGGGAATCCTATGAATGGGATGTATGATATGACTTACATTTGGTCTAGATGTAGGATTTTTTTTTCTTCTAATTTCTGAATTGTGAGCCTGCAATACACTGTTGAGTATTATATCTTACCCTGCTGGCCTTGATTGATTAGATGGCTTTATCCTAGAAAAATGCTAATTTTCTTCTTTAGCTGAATAATTGACAAACTGAAATGCAGTGGATCAATTTTTGAGGTAGTTGATGATCCGAGAGATATTGATGCAATTTTAGTGAACTGCTTCTAAAATTGAAGAAACAAATGAAAATGACTTTTAGCCACTTGGCATTATAAGAAGTGATTCTTAATTATGACAATCTGAGGTAGACTAATTTGAGTTTTTGGTACCAAATATATTGATATTTATGCAGTTTTAGTGAACTGTTTCTGAAAATGAAAAAAGAAAGCAAAGTGGCTTTTAAGCACAAAGTATACTGAGAAAGGACTCTTTAACTATCAAAATCTGAACAAATGAAGTTTTCTAGCTCCCAAATTTGAGTACTAAGTTTCTGTTTAGGTAAACTCAATAAGTACCTATAATAGAGAAAAATAAGAATGTAAATGGATTATACTTCTTTCCATAAGTGAAAATCAGCTTATGTATAAGTTAAAAATCAGCTTTTGGAAGAGCTAAATAAAAGAGCTTACAGATTTTTTAACTTATGGAAGAAACTTACTTCATTTTACTTTATAATTTTATTCTCGTATAAGCTTTTATTGAGAAGTTTATCCAATAGAACTGAAGTGTTTGATGCAGGATAAACCCCTTCATAGGTGATTGCTCAACTAATGGTTGTGGAACAGATCTGTATAAATAAAATGCCCTGAAATTTGAAGCTAGAGATAACAAATGTACCAAAAATAATTGCTTGCAAGAATTTATGCCCTTAATAGTTAATATTAGATCTGAAGATGAAGAAGAACATCCCTCACTTCTCCTAGTATTTCCATCATTTTGTGAATCAAAGCATAGAAGGATGAGAATTGAAGGGTGGTGGTTTCATGTGAAGTTCAGGAAGCTTAGTTTCTTCTTCTTTTTATCTAATTCTTGTGAATTTAAAAATAAGGGAAGTTAGAACTTGATTCCCTATTGATTGATGAAGTTGACTGTCATTTGATTTCATTAAATTTGTGGATGCATTGTTAATCTTGAGGTGTAATTTGTGTGTGGTTAGTTTTGAAGCATATTATGGTGAATTTGATGATTCTAATCATTTGGTGATTGCATGTTGTTATTCTAGTTGGAATTGGGTTGTTTGATATGAGTAGATGTGAAATGATGCAAATGCATGTATAGATTTCTAATTTTCAGTTGAAGAGAACAAAAATTGTGATTCTACCAAGTGTATAAATCACCATCACATTGGATGCAATTCAAAGTGCCAAGTGTGATACATATCAGAGGCTCTATACCTCACTAACAACGAACCTAAGATTGGTAGCATCAAGTGTGAGTTAGAGGAGAACTCTCTAACGTAGTTACGCCAATCGTGGGTTGAATGACATCGAGCATGGATGTCTTTGGAGCTCTCTGACCTAGTGATGTTGGGTCCCAATTGAGTGACACAAAGCATGATCAACACAAAAGACTTCTACCTAAACAATGTCGAATGTCAGTTTTATGATGTCGGATGTGAGTCAAACATAGGCTCTCTACCTAAGACGAGACAAGGCATGGGTAGATTAGCATAGGGCACAAGCGAGTTAGAGGCCTTCTACCTTAATGACGTCAAGTGTGGGGAAATGGTGTCAAGCGTGGGTTGCCTAATTAAAATATGTTGAATTATTAACTAAGTGTTGAACATGTATATGTTGTTGAAACTCCAGCATGATGTATGTTATCATATGATACTAGTTCTTTATACATTGATCTAGGATAATGTATATTGATGAATTAATTGTTGAAAAGTTATAAATTGAGTCTTTGGTTGAAATGTTGATACAAATGTGTTAAAAATGCGCAAGACATTAAGTTGATTGACTTAGGACTAGATAAGAGGTTATTTTAAAATTGAATATCCATTGTGAGGATTGTGTTGTGATATTTTACGAGTCTAGTTGTTGAAAAACCTTTTTTTTTAAATGTTGACTCTTGAAGTGGATAATTGAGTCTTCGCTAGGACATTATATTAGTTGATGCGATATGGAGACAAGATCGAGTCATATTATCCATAAGCGACCATAATATAGGGTCAAGTTGAGCTATACTAATTATAAAATGACTAAATGTTGATCCATATGATGGCCAAGTTGAGTCATAAGTGTACAAAGCGACCAAATATAGTAAAGTAAAATGTGGGGGGGTTAACATCCCTAACTAAGTACTAGAAAATGCGTAATATTTTGAGGATAGTCGACAAGCCAATCCTATAAGGGGCTTAGTTATGAATGTTAAGGTTGTGCTTGACTCACGCCTAAATTATTTTACCTTGATAGAAATACTAGATTTTCCTAATTTAAGTGACAAAGTCAAAGAAATCATGTTGTTGTGAATTTTATTCAAATTAGTTGTTGATATAGCTAGTGTAAAAAGATCATATTGTTAGTTGGTTTGGTATGATTAAATCACTTAAATTGTTCACCTACGTTATAAGAAATCTCTTTGTTGAATGTATGATGACGCATATAGTTATGTTGTGCATGTGATGTGTTGATGTGTTATGTTGTTCACATGGTATGTTGACTCATTGATGACTTGCCTAGTTGTATTGAAAGTTGAACATGTTGTGAAGTAGTGGTTGTGTATTGTTAAGTTTATTACATTTTGTGTTGATAAATGTTAGTATCCATATGTCATGTTGATCTAATGATGGTTGTACGATTTTGTTCTAAGTAGAAAACTTGTGTTGTATATTTGGGTGGCAAATGGACAATGGTTGGTGTTGCTGAGTTTTTTAATAAGTAGTATAGTAGTCAATTATTCTATACTTATTGATTATTTTGAATTATTAACTTATCTTTGCATATTTTCTCGTGGTTGAACTACAATAATCATACTTAATATGAGAGCATGACAATGATAGGCTAGAAAATGAGTACCTTTGAGGTCATGTTGGCAAATAGTAGTATAAATATTGTTTTTAGGCTACTCTTGGGCAGCTAATTGATAGATGTTTTATTGACAAATAAAATTTTCATACTTTCAATTAGGGTTATTGTAGATATGTGTATATACATATATGTATGTACAAGTTTTTAGATGTAGTTTCGAGGAGGAGCTTTTATGTTTTCAATATTTATTTCCTATGCATATGTATATATTGTTACATGTATATTTAGGAGCTACGTGTATGTTAATCTTAGTAATTTGATTATGTTTTTTTGTTATTAATTGTTGAACCATAACATGTAGTGATCCAACGAATTGTTACAGTTATAATTTTATAACTTAAGTTTTAAGAGTATTCACAAGTTAGATAGATTCATATTTTCAATGAAATTAAGTTCAAATCAAATTGGTCCGATTAAAATCATTATGATTTGATTCACGTTATTGAATTAAAAGAAAAAAATTATCAATAATTATTAGGTTTTAATCTTGTATTACTAATTATTTATATAAAATTTCAAGTTTATACTAATGTAAAAGAGACAATTTAATAAACTCGTTAGGTAAATTCAAAAAGTAAACCAATTATAATTAATTTGATTTGATTTAGATCATCGAATTCATTAAGTTAATATAATTTGATGATTACTTCAATGAGTCTAACCCATTATTAGTTTGTTGCAAATTGATTTTTTAATATGACATTAACTTTCATTTTTTTGTTCAGTAGAAAAATTTTAAAAAAAAGTAAAATACAAGAAACAAGAAAAAACAACAACAATTAAGGTCCAATGTCGTGTCAAAAAATCATCAGACCTAAAACAAATTTTAAAGTTGAGTTTTTTTTTTGTCTAAGAATATAGTCTATATAATGTTTTAAAATTGACAACCAAATATTTATTTTGGACATGATTTTTTTATCAGTAAAATTATTAATTAAGATTTGATAATTAAGTTATTTAAGAATTTCATTTTATAAGTATTTATTTAATTATTACAAGTAATTCGACATTTATACTTTTTAATTATTTGTAAGAGTTTAATTCTCAATTTAAACATAAAGTCGTCATCAAAAATATTACTTTATTCTTATAGAAATTGACCTAGTGAAAAAGAGTTATATTTCCTTACTTAAAAAAATGGTTCACATGATATATATAATTGATACTAAATTAAATATATATAAAGTTTGAATTTTAATTTTTTTTATTATAATAAAATTTGTAAGTATTGTTAATAATATTTTATAAGCCTGACATGAATTATAACAAACAAAAAATTCAATATAGTTTGACAATTTTCTAATACCTTCAGTATAAGAAAAAAATAAAGGTCATTAATATAAAATTAATAATCATTTGAACTTAAATTTATTCCAAAGCTATTTTTTTTTAATTCATTTTCCTATAGTTATTAATTTTAGGGATTCAAATAACTAAATTTAAAGTAACTTTATATTTTTATTTTTTTCAATAAGTTGTGAATGAAAAATAAATTAATTTGATATGTACACAAAATAATCAAATTTAAAAACAATTAATATTTAATTAAATATATAAATTTAGCACTTTCATTTTTATTAAAATATTTATTTTATAATTCATACTATTCTAATATAATTTAATTTTTGTATTTATTTTAATATGTTTTTTTGTTTCAATTTACAATAAATATAAACTATTTTTTCCTATCACATTTTAAATAAGTAAGAAAAGTTTTCAAATAATTTACAATAATAATATTTATGCATGTACATATTTTTAAATTATATAATTTTATTAATAAATTAATTATAAATGATAAAATAAAATTTATTATTTAAGAAATAAAATTAAAAATATAAAAAGATAAACTTAAATTATGGAGATAAATTTTGTGAACATATATCTCAAATACCATATATTTATTGATAGAGACACTCTCTTCTCTATAATTATGTTGATTACTATATGTCAATCATATGAGAGTAGTTGGCGAATCTTAAAGAGGATGACAACATATGGATGTTACTCATAAATAGATTGTTTAACAAGTTAAATTGTAGATAGTAAGTTAGATTCACAAATAAGGTTGTGAAAACCTTTGTTCCAAGTGATGTGAAGACCATGGCATAGGTCAAAGAGTATTGCATTAAGATTTGTAGTTATGTCATATGATCTTGAAAAACCTGGGGCCATTGACCTAGGTGACCTCAAATGATGTCTGCAAACTCTTATCTACTAAAGTTTTCTTGTCTTTTATATAAGTATGATGTAACACATTAAAAATTATTTATTTTATCAAAAAAAATGTTTCATAATTTTTTAGTAACAAGAAAAAAAATTATAATTAAAAATAAAATAAAATAATTTTTTAATAAACAAGATTTAAATGATGAGTATTGAGTAAGTATTTTTAATTTTTAACTAAATTAATATATTTAATTTATACATATTAGTTAGATTAAGATACTTCATGACTTTATTAAAGATAAAATAAAATAAATTAAATAATTATATTATAATTAATTTATTAATTTTAATAAAAATATTTTTTTTTAAAATAAAATAAAAGAATATAATAAAGAATAAAATATAAAAACAAAAATAATTAGTAAAAGAAGTATTCTCAAAATTTTGAAACATTACTTTTTTAGACCAATTTAAAAACGGCCCAATATGTTTTGGGTCTATACTGAAAAGCTCTCTATAAAAGGAGCTGGGACTGTGACCGTTTCTCACTCGTATTGAATTTTAGGGTTGCAGTTTACGCCGCTTATTCATCCATGGTCTCTTCTTCAATTCGTTTCGTATAATAATCACGATGCGATGAAGAGAAACAGAGGAATTTCATCGATTGCGGATCATTTCGCAACATGATTTCTCACACTCTTATGGTTCGTATTCGCTGAGCATCGTCACAGCTCCTTTTTCCGTTTTTATAAAAGAAAGCGAAAATTCGTCTTCCTTTTTATGTTTTTTGGGGTTTTAAATTGAATCGAAGGTCCTATGGAGGAGGCGCTTTAAATCAGTGCGTCATTCTTCAAGTTTGCCTTCGAAGATTGAATCGAGATCTCATCTTAACTCTCAAAGTGTTCTTGCGTTTCGCTTGGATCTACTTTTGACAACGGTTCTCTCACATTATTATTATTATTATTCTAATTATTATTATTTATGCGAAGGTCCCAGCAGGGAGGCGAGTTACTCTTATTGTTGAGGCCTCTCTAACAATGAAATTTGATACCCTTCGCAGAGTTATTTGCCGAATCGTAAGATGTCCAGATTTTTCATTTTTGGTGCATCTGGAACCCTCGGCTATATTTTATATCTTCCAAATTATATGGTTTACATTGAATATCATTTTTTAAAATTAAATATTAAATATTATTGGATCATCAATTGAACATCCCATAATCCTGTTTTTAATCATCTAGAAGTATAGAATCGTAGTCTCATCAAATTCTATCATTTCATCACTTACACTGGTATATATACATATAAATTTCATACCATCGCCTCAACTAGATTCCATAGTCATGATAAATATGAGGTTTGCTTAACACTCCAAGTGAACAAGAGGTCATTTGGTTATGTTTCCTCTTTTTCCTATCCTTTTATTTGTTTTTACCCAAAGACATTTTTTTGGTTTTTCTCTTTTTTTTATTCTATTTGTTCATTATTTTTCATTTATATTTTTTTTTATGTTTAACTTTCATTCAGTATGATAATTTATAAAATAATTGGATACAAAAAAAAATTGAATTAAATGCACAATCAGTTGGCCATCATTGTTCAATTAAGAAAATGAGCTTATAAACTAATTGTGCAATAGATTTTTTTTGAAATGCGAAAATAGAATGTTGCAACTTGCAAAATTATAAGTTCATCTAAAACTGAATTTAAGCCTTGATTTTATATTGAAAAAAATTATTTGACATCAAATATAATGAGACGTCTCACTTGTTTCTGAAAGAGGAAAATGTATAAAAAGGAAAATAAAAGAAAATATATTGTCAATGAATCATTACAAAAATATAAAATAAAAAGACCCTCGATAATGGATGATAGGTCTATTGTGTTTTAAATCCAGCATTTAAATAAACTCGTCTTATTGTTTCTTACAAAATGAATATGGTTAATTACTTAATTTAACTTCTTCCATGAAGCTTAGTCTGGATTGATAAAAAAATATATTGACAAATACTGTAGAAGGCACTGTAATCACTAAAAAAATCACAAAAAAAAAGTGTAAAGAGGCTGTGTTTCCATGTATTTTTGAAAGAAAAAAAAAGATAAAATCTTTAAGGGGAAGATGAGTTATATTAAGTAGTTAGCAATGGGAAAGTTTGAGTACTTCTAAGGATAGAAAGAAACAAGCTAATAATATACAATAATGTTAAAACACAGGGTATGATTGGTTAATTTTGGACGATTTCAGGTGGAACCGTTTTTTTCTTTTTCATGGGTTCCCGAACCTGATCAACTGATGGGAAGATAAAATATACAGCACAAAACAATCACAAAAATGGACTTTCGCAATTGGCTTGCAAGCAATGCAACTAGTTGTGATTTGTGATGTTTTAACTTTTAAGACATTATATAGAAAGCTAGAAATGAAGTAATTTTCTTGCATAATTCTTGTCTATCTTGTTCACTCTAAATCAAAACCATCTTCATACTGAAACTTTTAAGTTAAATCATCGCCAACCTATTGAAGTTTGTGGTCATCTCCACCAACCAATGTCTTCAAGCTCAATACAATTGGGTGGTCGCTTGGAAATCCCGGTACTTCTGAATTTGGAGATATAATGGTCATAGATGAACTTGGCCAATAGAAAAGGAACTATTCAGATTCCTGTGGTTATATTATGAACATTCATCTGAACTTTTGGCTATGTGTCTACAAATTGCTAGGAATTTGGGAATTAGACACATTATATTTGTATCCGAGTCTGATTCCGAAACTTCGTTGGAGCTAATTCAGAACGAAAAAAAAAAAAGAGAAAAGAAACGCCATCTTTTTTTTTCATCATGATGAAACTTTGATAAGCAAGATTCTCATTTCAAGTACTATAACTGACTGGAACATTTCTTTCCAAGTTTGGGGCTCTTGTCCACTTCCTCTTCGTTCCTTGTCTTGCTGATACCTTAGAGATTATCTACGAGAGTCTGATTTTGGTTTATTTTTGCTTTTGTTTATTTTTTTCACACTGATCAAATGAAACTGAAAGCTGAAGAGAAAGAGATATTCAATACCACTGCATGTCTGATAAACCCTTATCTTTCATAGCCTTCAAATGGTGCGTTTGCTGCTTCCATATATAAGTCACCCAGTGTACGATTATTAGTGCAAAATATTTTTCTTCTGGAAAAGAGGATATGTAGATTAAAAAAAAAAAGTAACAAAAAGGCAAGAGACAAAATCACACCATAGGCACGTACTAGAAGATTATTTTAAAGGCAGCACAATGCACACACTACCATTACAGACTAGTTTTTTCTTATCAGTAATTGTGGACAGCATAAAGCTGCACTTGGCTGATCTCTATCCATAGTATATCTGAACATGTCTTCTACCAAACACTAAAGTCCTCTAATGCAAAAACAACCCTGAAATATGGGCAAACTCTGACTGGTAACTTAGGTAGATTCTTCTTGGGTCTTTGCATCCCCAACAAGTCACTAGTAAACAAAATCATTGGCCAAACAGGGTAACTAAGCATACCGTGGCAAATGTTTGCAATACATGAGCTTATGCCTAGAAAAGTTACTGGTTGAACTGAAACTCTTCTACTGAATTCAATAATTTACTACCAAGTCTACAATATGTTAATGGAAAGCTTTCACAAATAAAAATAATATATTATATATATATATATATATATATATAACCACGATATTGATATGAAATATTCACCACCAGAAAGAATAATTAATCTATATTGGAAATTGCGAGCGCATACTAAATAATATTATGTATACTTCCTGATTTTTATTCCATCAAACAGACTTCCCTTATTTAGTATTTTGCACAAACAGATTGAACTCCTGCAAAAAATTTTAGACAATTATATGTTGGCAGTACTCTCTAACTCTTCTTACATTTTCTCCTATTAGATAAAAACTCACGCAAATCCTACTACATATGCGGGTCCCATTTGCCAAACTAGTGAGTAGTGAGAACAAGTACGTTGCTAGCATTTCTCAATTCTCATAGTTAAAATAACAATATCTAGGGAGGTCAATGCAATATAAAAACCAAGAGGGTGTGCTTTTTAAGGTTTCATAAACTTTCAGAGATTCAACGTAATTTACACAATATATATGTCAGAATCTATTCAAAACAACTTTACAATTACTTTAGAATCCTTAATCTCCTACTGATCATAGTTTCTTCTGTTAGAATCACAGTGGAATCCTTACTGCATTGCTGTCAACTATCTAGTAAAATTGTGTGATGTAAACATAAATAGGGAAAGAAATTTTAGAACTACAAACTCTTGGTAGCTTCCTATATAATAATGCATGGTTATTAAATTTTAGAAAGACTGGAATAATCATATTAGAAATGCAGTGAACAGCTCTCTGATCTCTCTGCTTCTTTCATCTCTTTCTCCCCTCTTTCTTGCTGTTTCTTTCTCTTTCCCACCTAAATTCTATATTAAATTGCTATTGTATTGTTCATGATACACTTGCAATCATGTACATATAGCATAAGAATCAGATTTTGTTTTTCTCATTGGCACGAGATAACATCAATACCAATCAGCCAGTGTTCAACAACTCATTCTAAAATCTAAAATGCATTTCCACTTTCCAAATTCCAAATGTTAAAAAAAGAATTATCTAAAGCTAAAATTCTATATAAAATCCATTCATGCATGGGATCTGAAGAACAGAATATCAAATTATAAGCATTACAATTTTGCACCTAACATGATGGAAAATGATATTTCATAACAAGAAGATCATAATATATCTTCATACACAAACACACACAATCTCAACCCCCTACCCCACCCCCACCCCAAAAAAAATAAAATAAATAATATTTAACAAAGGTCTAATTGCCTGATAGTAATTTGATGATTTCATTTCTTTTTCTAATTACTAGTGGGAAATCATATGTTGTGAGAAGCTAGCATCTTCTTTTCCGATAACATCACTGCAAATCATAATGATAGAATCTAAATCAAATGACCAAAACAATAAGGAATTCACTCAAATCGTGTATCATCATCATTCTCTTTTCAAATGACAATTGTTACAATATTGAAACAAAATCCTCATGTTCAACAAATCTAAATTACACCATTCGATTCATCACTGTATTCTAACGAATAGAAAGTACCATTCTGGTTCAACAATCAAAACTGATACATCCATTCCTCAAACACAAAAAGGGCCAAACATCCTAGTTGTCCCTCAAGTCTCACCCTTCAACTTCTGCCGGCGTCTTCGCCACAATTGACAACGCATGAAGTCCAGCATCTAACTCCTCCTGCAACAATCCATAAATAAGCCTATGCCTCTTAACCAAACTCTTCCCTTCAAACTCCCTAGACACCACTCTAACGTTAAAATGCGTCTCACCATCACCCCCTCTAACCCCAGCATGCCCCGCATGCTGATAAGACACATCCTCAACCTCCAACTCCACAGGCTCAAGCTCCCTCTCCAACTTCTCCCTTATCCTCTTCCCCCTCCCCCCCAATTCTACATCACCCTCATCACCACGTGTCTCAAAGTCACCATTTTTAGAACTTCCCCCACCACTCTCACTCTCAACAACCCCATTAAACTCAGACTCAATTGAGTTCAATTCACCTCCACCAGAATCACCACCACCCTTTTCAGCTTCAACATATAACATAAGAGCCTTTCTCTGCATCAACTTAAGCATGTTCAAAAACCCGTTATTTCTAGAAGGGGTTAAGCTCTGCTGCAACCCTAAAAGCGTAACGAAATCGGGTGTGACCCGAATGATCTCGTTAACGGGTCGACCCGAGAAGCCCTGAACGAGCAACGCGGCGAGGCCCTTGGTGAGGACGGAGTCGGAGTCAGCTTCGTAGACGACGTTGCGGTTCGGGTCGAGGTAGGCTCGGACCCAGACCTGGGAGACGCAGCCTTGGACCTTGTTGTCGTTGGTTTTGAACCTTGTGTCGAGGGGTTTGAGGTTCTTGCCGTAGAAGAGGAGTTGTTCGTATTTGGCTTTGGGTTCGGGGACGGATTGGAAGAGGTGCACGATTTCTTGGAGCTTCGGAGGGAGGTCTTCGATGGGTTGAAGAGATGATGGTGGTGGAGATGGTGATGATGATGATGATGGGGTTGGTGGAAGCCTCTGGAACGTTATGGGTTTGAAGAAAAGGAAGGATTTTGAGGGTGTTGGGTGGAGAGTTGGGGTTTTGAAGTTGTGGAGGGAGAGAGGGATTCTGGTTGTGAATAAGCGAAAGGAGGATGAGGAAATGGAATTGGTAGCCATCATTGAAGAAGAAGTTAGTTAGAGCTATTGCAACTGTACCAGAGAATGAGAATGTGTGTGTGAGAGAGAGAGAAGATTCTTTTTTTCTTGGCTCTTTCAGTGGACTTGATTTCTTTTCGGCCCAAAAGGTTCCGAACTTGTGAACTTGGGCCTCGCCCGTTCATGTTTCATTTAAGTGAAAAGTTTCTTATTTTATTTTGGATTTGCATCTGTTGAAGATGAGCATGTACGATAAGATAAGATTAGTTATTTTTGTACTAACTACTTCAATGTATTTGATTTAAGAAAAAGAGCGAAAAGAATGGAAAGGGAAGGAAAAGAAATAAGTAGAAAGTGGGATGATTTTGCATCCTTTTGTTTTGTTTTGTTTGGTTGCATGGGAAGTGAAAGGAGAAAAAATATGTAAATAAAATCACATTCACATCTCTATTAAGAAAGAATATGAAAGAAGGGAAGTCGTTTTTAATTTAAAATCTTCGTTAAGAACGTTACTTTACAAGGACCTGTTCGGTTCTTTTCTTTGTAGGAGTTGATACTAAATTTTTAGGACTTCTATGCTCGTTCTGTTTGTTGCCGGGTGTTGTTCACAGATCACTAATGGTGTGCCAAGAGTTGTTGCTTTGTTGGATAGGTAAAAGTAGTTACTCATTGGCGTGGGGTGAATTAGCAGGAAATCAGACAGCGATGGACATTAACAAATAAAGGGGACATGAAGCTGACAGGTTAGATGGTCTAACATTCCTAAATTTACTTGCATAGTCTATCTTTGTTAGCACGTGATGTGGATATTCATTCTGGCATTGTTAGAACCTCACTACAAACAATATGATTTTCATTTTCATGCATCAGTGGAAAGAGTCATCCAATGCATCAAAATTACTTAAAAGATCGCTCCCTTGGAAGCTAACAAAGATAAACGATTATTTTTTCAAAGTATACTCAACCAAACATGCAATTACTCATTTGAATCTTAAAAAAAAAAAAAAAAAAAAAAAA